TGTGACAAACATGCATAAAAATAAGAAATCAGGAAGGGGGCAAACACTTTTTCACACCACTGTATCTAAAAAGACATAAACCTAGCATGTAGCAGTGAACATAATAGTGTATGACCTGATATAAATGTAGTGACCCTTTAACCTTTTTCACTAATATACATACTATCATGCAAAATATTATCAATTTAAATGGGAAAGAAATTAGAGTTTTAGTTTGCCTTTAAACTTTAATAAATGTGCAGCTTCATTCCCCTTCACACAGTATTACTATGTGGGTAAAATATTCTGATTTTTTTTTACAAGAAACACCTCTTTGGGGACCAGATTGGTACAAACAAAATAACTTAGAAATACTTGTTTGAGAAATTGAGTATACTGTACAGTTGATCAAACTGATTTAAGGAAAAGTGAGATGTATAGACGAAGGATTTTTAGTCCTAGATTTGTAATGGTATGAATACGATAAAATAGTGAATTTGACTAAAGAAGGCTAATTAAGAATGTTGAGTTTCATGTTTTAAAACTAAAGAAAACTTAGGTTACTCTGTCACAAAAGAGGCAATCTTTGCAAAAAGTTCCTCCTCGTGTTAGAACTACTAGCTGCGGTACTTTCTATTTCATTAAAATGAGAATAGCTCTATCTAATCTGAAACTAATGTTCACCACTGCATTGCTCTCTTAGTGGGTTGTGCTATCATTATAGCTTATGAACTGTGAAGATACTGCTTTATCATTATATTGTCTGTGGAAATGGAAAAGGCAATATGTTTAACTGCAATCTTCTTTCTTCACTTTTAATAGTGTGGGCTGCTGACATGAGGATGTTGGCCTACAGGTATAGTGTAATTCAAGGTTGAAAGTTATACGTAAACGTGTGTTGCATTTACATCATTGCCCTAAAGGCAGTATTTTGAGTCTGTACTGTAAATGTATTAAATGTTGTTTACTTGCTTTATGTGGTTGTTTTCCTGTTGAACTGGTCACAAGAATGATGGAGTTTATCAAATGGATTGTTACAATGCTGTATTTTGATTAAGACCAGTGTCAAGAGCAAGAGGGGGTGATTGTCCTAGGGACTGAGATCATTAGATGCCTTTCATCTTTGCATTAATGAAAGTGCTGTACCCTGTGCCTGTATTCTACTGAGGCCCTTATCCTCATACTCAATTTGTCCTTAAAACCTACAGAAACAATCGTTTTGTTACACTTGGCTGGGCATAATACCAGTGAGTGACAGGATTCATGGTAGCTCATGCTGTCTCATGCCTTATTGCTTTGATACAATTTAGAAGAATAACTGTACAGTGTGCCTGTACGTCAAAGCAATCCTATACAGTAGCTTTGCTGTATTATTTCTGTATAGCTTTGCTGTAACTTCTGAGCGCAGGGATTTATGTTTATATATTATTTTGTGTTTTATGATACATAAATAGGAAACACAGGTTTGGCTAACGTGTATTTGTACAGTATGTGTTGGAGTTCATGAGAACACATGGATACTAAACACTCTCAAAACATAATAAAGCCTTCCCTACTATCACATTGCATGAGTGTTTTCAGTGTTGATCAAGCTGATGTGCACACGTATCAAAAAAGTAAATTCTCATGCCATCTGACCATGAAAACCAGTTGTCATTGTCGATCTGACCGGTTGCAATTGTAATTCAATAAATAATTGTAGATGTAAAAGGCAAATTCAATTTTCAAGTTTCTTCTTTCTGCGGTTTTGCCCACAGAAGAGACTGCTTTCTTGCAATTCAGCCATGAATTCTGTATTGATGCAAGCGATGTCAAGTGGCAGTTTTTAACAATTTGAATGTTTTCAAGATGATGGTTTGATTTGGTGATCTCAAACTGTTGCCTTTGGATTTATGTTTCCTATAAATATTTACTGGGGTAGATTCAATTTTTCTTAATTCTTTTATGGTTATGCCCCAACTAGTGGACCTTAATGACCTACGATGTGTGCTACTGAATGTTTTTCATATATCTTATGCTTTTATAGCCCAGGGAATAGGGAAGTGTTTGGAGCTCTCTATAGATTTCTGGATGTTTCCATTACATTTTCACATCAAATGCAAATCAAATAAAGCAGTTAGAAGATAGATGGATAAAGAAATCTGATGTTATTTAGTTAAATTTTTAACTTTGTTAATAGTTAAAGAAATAATGAGAGCAATAACAAAAAAACGTCCAGTACTGTGTCTGTGTTCCCAATGCTTATTATAACCACTAGGTTGCACTGCTTCCCACTTTTACTTCTGGTTGTTTTTTACTAAGACAAATATTCTACTACAGGATCTGTTTAGTTTTTACTGACCCTTTTGCATGGGGCTGATTTTATTGTGGGTCACTTGAGGATAACCCTCATATGCCTGAATGATTTTAAAGGGCCTCAAAAGATGTTCTGATACAGTATTACCACAGCCGGAAATAGACTGCTTCAATGTTGTTGGTAATTCCTTATTCTGTGGGATTGTTGATGGTCTTAAAGGTAAGGTTATGGTTAAGAGAATCTTAATCCTTACTAGTCAACTCTTGCTTTTAAATTGTATCCAAGGTTAAAGTGCCTATCAGGTATCTGTAGATTAAATGATTGTGACAACTGTAAAGTGTTGTAGTGTAATGTATTGATACAGGCGATATTTTTACACAAGTAGATATTTAATTCTGATTTGCATTCCAGTCACTTGGTAATAAGCTTAGGTTAATTCTTCAACAACTTCTGTGCAAGGTTTCCATACTATAAGCAAAGGTAAAACCGTAAGATGTTTAACTGGTATTTTTTAGTATTGCTAAGCATTAACTATTTTGACTTACCATCTAGTAGATTTTTAGTATTGTGAGCTTTATTGTGAGGTTCGAGCATTAATTACAGCTTAACTTGAAATATGTCATTAAATTCCAAATCCCTAGATTTCCCCTTTTAACTTTTTTTTGCACGTCTGTGTTTCATGCATTAACAGTCTCCTGTTGTCTACAATTACACATTTGTTATTCTATGACAAAAACCACAAAAGACTAGAGGTTCAGCTAAAAGGAATCAGATCCTCAGCTAATAGTCACTGCATGTAGTTGGTGAGCCACATTTGGGAGTTGCTATAGTTACCAAAAGGCCAGAAGATTTTTTTACACTCATTTTATTTCTCTGAAACTGATTTTCTACTGTTTCATTTGTTCTTTTCACGAGTACAGTTTTGAGCACTACAGTCTTTAAATTATTCATTAAATTAAACCTAATTATAAATGCATGAAATTTCTCTTTCACCTGAAACTTTCTACTTTCTTTGGCCTTTCTTCCCCCTTGCTTACATTTTGGGATTTATATTAATATGTAGCATTAATCATCGCTGGTGAAAAGGCTGATAACATTTTTGCTTAAGCAATATATATTTCTGCTTCTATTTGCTTCTTTATGAGAAGTCATTCTTTTGAGTTCATTTGACATGTAGTGCATACTGTCGTTTTTCATTCTTGTAAGTGTTTGGTGCTTATATACCTGCTGCTTAATGGGTGCTAAAATAGGCTTGTGGCTTTCATGACACTGTGTTTTCTTGAAAGAGAATTCCAGGTGATGTCTGCCAGACAAGGCACAGGCTAAACTCAGTCCCTGAGGCTGCATTAGTTCATTATCAAGCACAGAAAAATGACCATTGTGGGGTCTGTGTTATTAACTGTACTGCCATTCTTTACCTTCCATCCACTGGTCACCTACACCTTAGAACAGCAAGATAAAACTATGGACTGACATGGAAAGAATTTGCAACACGTGGATGTGAAAAACTTTATAAAACATAATTTTCTGAAAAATAATTTGTGGAATGCAGTGCTTGCCCAAGCTCATAAATCTGTTTCATTTTGATTACTTTTAAGCATCTAGTGTCTACTGCCCCTCAGGGGACTTGATTCACCTGTTTCTAAAAGTGCAGTACTTGAAAACTGACTCTTAAAGCTCTGCTGGTGGATTAGATAGGGGTGTGTTTGAGTAAAGGGAGGGAGGAGACTTCTGCTCAAAATGGGAATACTTTGGTAAAAAAATACCTACTGTATAAGAACAGATAATGCTTTCTTTTTATTTGTATGAAAATTACTGAAGTATCAGGAGAAAGAATATACAGGGAAGAGGAGAGCTATAAAGTTTGCATTATAAGTCAGACATTCTTCTCTCCTCTCCAGCACCAAGAGCATAGAAATTGGTTTTTCTTTTTGTTTGGTTGTTTTTTTCCCCTCTCTTTTCTGCGGAAGAAAGAATGCTTGATAGACAGCATGTGAAGAGAGGATGTAAGAGTGGTTTTCTAGGACAAAGCAGTCTTTCATAGTGGAGTTTCCATTGATGATCTTGCTGCACAGGACAGAAGTTCAATTTTTTATTTCCTAGTTTTTTTTTTCAAGGCTGCAGAATTCTAACATCAGTCATCTGTTCTCCATCTTCAGTACCATTTTGTTAGCTGTTTGTTCAGTGTTGCTACTCCTGGCATTGCAGAGAGATCCACTCTTTGTATTCCTGTTCTTTGGAGTCGGGCATGGGTAAAGCTGTATGTATAGAGGACTGTTGCTTATCCACTACCTCCATCCTGAACTGCTGCATTGAGCAACAACAATTGCTGCAGGCATTGTGCTAACATTTTATATGGGACACTCTACAAGCCCGGACAAGACAAAAGTTTTCTTTTTTTTCTATTCATATGTATTGCTGCTACAGTATGTACCATATAGCTTATATATAGTTATTTTCATTTTGACTCATATTTCTGTTGCCTATATACAGTATATCTTTTGAAGATTTCTTTTGCAACTTCATAAGTTCAACATTACAGAAGTTTTTTTTTTTGGTCTCAGGTGTTTTGTTTTGCAAACCAAATGCATAATTTAAAAAAAGTTGCTTATGAAGATAGAAGAAAAATTAGCTTTCTGGCTATTATCCAGGTACAATCTGTAAAGGATTTGTTTCTTTTTGCCTGCAGCTGTAAGAGAGTTGAAGTACAGAACACAGGCGTCCCCATAGTATGATGTGCAAAGTGAAAATATACTGGTTTTGATAGAAGGATCTACAGAAGTGAGACTTGTGAATGCTGGCATGCTGCAGCAGAACGGGACTTTTTACTGTGGCTCTGTCACTCAGTCTAATAGAGATCAGGGTAGTCAGAGGAAGGCGGGGATAGGCAACACTCAGACTGCCTCCACTGCTGAGAGCCAGCTCTCCTGGGAGCAGCAGGGAGTGTGTTCAGGAGAGCATGGAGAGAGCTCGGGGCAGGGGAGGTCTCCTAGAGATCTCTGCAGCAAGCCTTCTCTGAAAGCGGACTGCAGAGGCGGAGAGGGGAGGGCAAGTGAAAAAATGAAGATGGACAGGTTTATTGAACGGAATCACTCCATGATAAAGTTTTCCGAAGTAGCCCGGGAAGGAATGCCTCCACCTTCTGTGCAGCGACGACAGGTACAGCACCGAACAGAGGACAGCTCAGCTTGTATCGGCACTATCTTCTTGGCTCAGGGCGAGCAGCAGGGTAATGACCGTCTGTCCTCTGGGGGCTCTGGGTCCCCATCTAGTCCTGGGGAGGTGGTGTTCCGACGGCTTTATCAGAGCCAACCTGATTGCAGCAGGAAAGTTGTGAGCATGTACAGCTCCTCATCCAAACTGGAATCAGTCTTGCAAACTGCCCAGGAGAGACAGAGGAGACCCAAAAGCATTTGTGTTCTGGCAGAGTTAAATGCTGCTGAGACGACCCCTCAACACAGCAGTAACATTAGTGGACTTTTAGATATCTTCCGGCAGCGCAGAGCCAAAAAAGCCGAGCTTCGCTTCTCGGAGAGAATCAAGACCAATATTTCTAGGAGGAATATACAGGAGGTTCCCTTGAGGTCCACACCAAGAGGGAAACCACGGCCAGTCAGCATGACCTTCCTAGAGATAAACAAGCGAGTTTCTTGCGATGACCTGGCCTCTGACAACTGTCCAAGCTTCAACCGCTCATCCAGTGACGGGGCCAGCTTCCAGAAGACTGGCTTCCGCTGGAATTTTTTTAGCAGAGTGGCCAAAGAAGGGGAGAGGTCCCCTCCGCTCAACAGGAAGGGTGACAGCCCCAAGAAGACATTGGCTTCATTCCGGAGGAGTCTGAGTTTCCGGATAAAGAGGGGCCGAGAAAAAGGGGAGAGCGATGACCAGAGAGAGAGGCTACGTACCAAAAGTGATGGTGATGAAACCTTGTATTCTACACGTCCATTTTCCTATCTGACTGGGAGAAGTCTGGCACCCTCTAGGGACAAGGCAGAAGATGGGGGTATTCAGTATGTGAGGTACCAAAGCAAAGGGAAGCTCAAAGTAATGGAAATACCAAATTATCCGGCCAAGCTTTCAGAGCCCAGCACAGATGAACCCAGTGTTTGGAAACTGTTGACAAGCCGCTTTAAGAAAAAGGACCAGCCGTCTAAAGGTAAATTTGATATAAATTCTGTGAAGAGATAGCCTAGTCAATTTCTTCTGGCAACAAATAAAAAAAGCCCAGGGTCCGTTGCCATAGAAACAGATACTGCATCAAAGCTTAAGGTAAGCTCTGTATGGATTGATAGCAGTATGTATGTTTTTTCCAATAGACTCCCTGAACTCCTCTTCAAAGATTTTAAATTACAAAGTTTTGAGTCAGGTGCATACATCTTTTTGGATTTTGGATTAATAGACTGATTTTCTTTAACATGAGAATAGGATATTTGGAATAGGAGAATCGGGGGGATAGAGGGCAGATTAATCAAAACTGTGATCATACAGACAAAGGCTGGAAACTGTCCAAAGGTTTAAAGCCTACAAGACAGGAATCAATTTCCTTCTCCTCAGTTTAAGTAGTGGAGTGTTATATTGCATCTCAAAATCTTGTTAGACAGTTGAAACAGGTACCAGCTATATGACCAAAGTACATTTTTTGCACTGTCCTGCTTCACTGGAGGCATGAGGGCATAAATAATCCTCTGGGTAACTACTGAGTTTACAGATTGTGCGTCAAAGTCAAGAATAATCTGACCGATGGACTCCTGAGTAAATGTGCACGTCTAGAAACAAGTATTATAGTCAAACACTTTGAAGCTGTTTTTTTTCCTCTTAATCATTAAAAGCATTCTTTGGAGTAATGCCCACATTCTGTGCTCAGAATAATTTAGTAATCTGTGTGTTTCTGTTCTCTCTGTCTTGAATGCAGTTTGCCATACTTTTGTTCAGTACAGAGTGCAGTGTTTTTTGATCCATAATAAATTCTTATATGAAATTAGGTATTCTTCATATGGATACAGCTCTTTATTGATGTAAAGGAATTTATATGATGGCATATGAACCTTTTTATGTGTTAGTATTTTGGCATTTTAAGAAGTTCAAAGAAATTACTATATGTATAAATATTCCATATTTAATCTTATTTTGGAATGGTGTGTTATGTGCCTTAATATTAATATAAAAGGGTTTTCATAATACTATACAGCCCCCTTCAACATCAAAATAGTTAATTTGTATTTAAATAAATGATAAGTAAAATATTATATGTTTTATTTTTGTGTAATTACATGCACATAATCATATTAGAACAAAAACATACTTCAATCTGCCAGACAATGCTAAAATAGAGAAACATCATGACAGTTTGTAAACATCAGCCCCCATAATCTAGACGGTTTTGCATGGATGTCAGAAAAAAACTGGTGTGACCAGCCACTTATTAAAAGAAATAAAGGGTTCATGAGATTGTAGCAAAGTGCTGTCTGTTGAAATGTGGTTTGCTTTAACCTGCATGAAAGTATAGCAATTAAGCACGTTAATTATATTGTTATTCTAGGAGAGGCTGTTGGCAAACATCACTCTTAAAAAAGGAGACAGTTGTACATGGCTGTTTAGAATATGATGGCTGCAAACCTGTATTTTAACAGTTTATGCACTGTAAGAGAGATGATGTTGTTATTGGCATCATATCAAAATGACAGAAATCTTACTGGATGTGTAGAGCATGGTTTCAACGCATTTTGCACTAGCAATGATTTGTTTGTTTTATTTTAAAAGCAGAGGTAAACAATCCTATCTACTGCATGGAAGAACTCTTCCTGATAAGGTTGTTGTAATATATTCGTAGCTGATGTCACTTTTGAGCTTTATATCACATTGTTGCAATAGAAATTTCATGCCATTTACTCTTGTAATTACTTCCTTTAGGGATAAGTCAGGGTTCTCTTTTTGCATTCGATAATGATTCCTAAGGAAAGGCCGCACTGAGATGAGATAGATTTTATTGATTTAATATCTGCACAGATATTTAACAATTGCAAATAATATTAATAAAAATACAGATCAAGGAATCATTATATATTTTCTGTACAAAACATGACATACTGTCAAATTGAAAACATTAACGACATTACTATATGGTCTTACTCTTGTGCATTAGCACAAGCATAACAGCTTGAAGCACAGCATTTGGATGGACCGTTCCACCACTTCTCTTTTTCCATGTGGCGGTAACCATGGTGATCTATCTGTAGATGATTGTTGAGAAAGATCTTTTTTTTATTTGGGCATTGTAGTCCTAATGTTGCCTTGTATTGTCCTTCTGGAAATTACCACTTTAATGTCAACTCAAATTATGTAATGGAAAAACAAACTGTTGTCTCGCACACTTGACTGGTAAATGTACTGTATTACAGAGTGGACTTTGTGTAAAAGTAAATTCCTCGCCACATCTTCATTCTTCTACCACTTCATTGGCCAATTTAAACAAGACAGCCATCAAAAGTCTGCACACAACTTATGATCTGTCAAGGGCTAATAAATAAGTGAATAAAGTGTTCCATTACTCCCCCTGCCACCATGTTCAGTGTTCTTTGGCTCACAATGGATGATGATTTTGTCTCTCAGCTCTTACTAACTTTCACTCATGTATTAGCCTCTGAGCATGTAGTTGTTCAAGCAGGTGGTAATCAGAAATCATTCTGCTGCTCTAGTGAATCTTTCTTCCTGGAATTCCTTGTGTTGTAGTCATTAAAGCTGGTCAGTAGTTCAAAAGATGGTTGTCACCGTTGTGATGGTCCAGGCATTATGTGGTGACTCTCAGCCTTCGAGGGTATGGCCTGTTCCTCCCACATTGTCTTCCTAGCTTTGTGGGGCTAGTCTGCTGATTGTTGAAGCAGAACATTTCATTATTTTTGCACTTTCTCACTGACAGAACAGAATTAGATAATCTTCATTTATCAAGTGGAAAACGGTCATATCCTTTTCTATTTTATGTTAATTAAAAGCACTGAAATAAAATTTTAATGACTATAAAGAATGTTAACTCATTTGAGCTATGTTACAGTACATCAACAACGATCACCTGATGTTTTCTTCTGAAATCACATGCCCTGAGCACAGTGTTCTGTTATTGCAATGCTACTAATCAATGACCTGTCTACGTACCTTTTAAAATGTAATCGCATGTTGTATGTGCCATGGCTGTAGAACGAACTTGTATTTTCTTTATGCATCAGCATGTTTCATTTCATAATAGTCATGGTTGCTGCTTAAGGTGGAACTAAGCAGCAGTTTGGTTTGTGAGGTGCAGGCTGAGAGAGGAACAACAGGGAAACTTTGGGCAGTGTGGTGTGGAAATACAGAGCTTGATGAAGGCAAACAGTCCAGGACTGTGGTCAGATGCAATCAAGGTTCAAGGATAGAGACAGTAGAGGCATAAAAGGACAAATGCAGACAGGACAAAGGTCTGTAGCACGTGAAATTAACAGGGCCAGAGCACAAAGGGACATATTCGGAGATGTGATCAGGATGAAGCTAGAGTTGAGCATCCAGGGAGAATCACAAGTGAAAGCAACAGGAACAAAAGCAAGTGGTTCTGTGGTCAAAACTGAACGCTAAATCAGAGCCCTGAGCATTGGCCATGTCTATCTTCAATATCCTGAACCATCAGAGGTGTTTGTGGTTGTACATTGCCTGCAGATGATTCAGGTTTCCTATCAGAATATTGCCATGGCAACCGGCACTGCGTGCCAGGTGAGTAGAGGTGTGGCAGGCTGCCATGGCAGAATGGGAATCATAATCTCATCCAGATTTATTCATACAGATTTGATTCTACTTGGAAATTACTAAAAAAAAAAATCACACCCTTTTTAAACAACTTGTGGTGCCGATGCATCAAAAGTCATTCACTATTTTTGCATTATTATTGCGTGAACATTCTTCCAGTAAAGTGAATACATTAAGAAATAGTGTGAATGTAAAATGTTTCTGTAATGAAAAAGATTTTGCTGGTCCTGAAATATTCCTGTTGCTCTAATGAAGTAATTTCTGAAAGTCACAAGAATGGAAATACAACCATTAAAATATTTCCTTATAGAAAACCTGGAAAAGAAAACTTACTGTAAATGTGGCAGTAAGATTTATTAATGCCAGGAGGTTTTTTTTGTTTGCTTTTTGTGCTGTTTAGGCAAGATACAATCCAATGTGAAAACACTGAAATAACTTGCAGTAAGTGAAAAGGCTGTTATTTTTTATGACTAATTTATACACAGCAGACAGTTACCAGGGTTTTTAAATCACACCCTAAATACTGAGTGTATCACAGCTCTTAATATGATATTATCTAAATAGTCTGAAGAGCAGTGCTTTAGTGATGTTTTTTCCTTTGTTTTTATAACGTCATCGCTCTGCAAGGCCCAGTGTTTCTTTATGGCAGCCTGGTCTGTCAGGGCTGTGGAATGTGGGCATGCCCCACTCCATGATTGAACTGATGAGCTTCTAACAAAACAGTTGAGTTTTGTGTTGAAGGTGTTTCAGCACCTGTTGATACTTGCCCCATTGCTTTAGAAGTTTAGTTGAATGACTTATATTGTTCCTGTAACCCATCCTGATTTTCAAATGTGAACTTCAGAATTAAGTATGCCAGGAGCCAGGCTTTAGAAAGTATAAGCTCCAGTCATGTCAGTGGTGTACCCCAATCCAGATGTAAACAATACTTAAATGATCAATGTCTTGACGCTCTGATGGGATGTACAGATAGAACAGATATTAATTTTCCTAGTGGCTACAATTTTTTAAAATGGACATAAAGCACGAGTTACCCTTTTATTGTACAGTATACACTATAGAATCTGGTAAAATAAGCTATCTGTAAACATGAAAGCAATGTACAGAAGTTGTTTTAGCTGAAGTTCTTGGATTACTGGCTTTTTCGACATACTGTATGAACAAGCACCGTTATATAATAAATAGTGATAGTTTGGTGGATATTGAAGTCAGAAATCTAGCACAGAGAAGAGATGAATTTGTCATCTGATGGCATGCAAAGATGGGTATTTTGTCTTCCTCTCTTATTGTAAATAAGTTATTCATAAAGTTATAACTTTAGTAGATAAGTAACTTTGTTTTACTATAGTATCTAACATAATGATCCAAGTGTTATTGTTTCAAACA